TTATGGCTAGAATTGTGGAATTAGAACAATCCGCAAAAGAAAGTGCAGAGAACACGAAATTAAGAGATGTCGAAATCAACGAGCTTAGATTCAGAGTTTCGAAATTAGAACAGAAGGATTCGCAGAATGACTCACGGAGTGAGGATACTATCGTATCTAAATAAACAAGCACATATGAAGATTCCAATCAATCTCCAGTTAATGACATCTCTACTGAACTGAAAATTTTTAACGATGTCTCTTCAGAGGTGATCTCACAAAGTAAGGATGCTCCGACATCGGATATAGCTGATAGGAGCGGAGCCCCATTGCTTCGCAATAATACTTCAAATTCTGGCGATATCCTCGAGCAGAAAGACTCATCTGATATAACTAATAACACTTCAAATTCTGATATATACCAGGAAAAAGATAGTCGGTGCCCTGAATCTCCTATCCACACAGAACCTAAATCTCCAGAGGATAAAATGCTCGACGATTTTCTGGATTCGGTACATAAAGAAAAGGTAAGTAATGAGATTAGAGAGAGAAACCGGGAAAAAAAGCGTCAACAAGAAGAGACTCGCTGCAAAACATCCTCAGCTATTCAGGACCTATCATGCGGTAATACAGAAACCATTCCCTCAAAAAACGACCAAGCTGGAAATTTATGTGATATGAAAACCGTTCCTTCGGGGAACGATCGATATGTAAATTTATCATGTTGTACAAAGACTATTAGTTCGGAAAATAATCAAACTGAAATATCTGATGTCGAGTGTGATAAAAATGAAATCGTAGAGCAGGGTTTAATAGAAGAATTGCATTCATCTACTGACTCACGAAGTGAGGATGCTGTCGCATCTAAGCAAAGCCTCATTGATTCTGCGATAGATAATGCCAACTCTACCGAGAATAAAGGTTCAGCTCAACATCTATCTTATTTATTTAAAACGGCAATCAAATCTCGACAGCAGGAAATCTTAGACTGGTATTATTATTCTCTTGAATTTGAAAACAAGGTTCGTGCTATTACATCTGATGGTAAGATCAAAGATAAAACGGCAAGAACAATGATTTATAAAGAAATGAAACCTTTTCTCCCAATATTACCCAAGATAATTTGCGCAAAAAAACTCTTAGAGCTAGAAAACTTCTTACGTTATTCGGGGCAAAGGGGGTTGGGATGGATAAAATTAAGCTAATTACATATAGTGCGAATGAGATTTCAAAATTGACTAATGCACAAATTCAGAATATTATAAATCGAGTAAATTCAAAAACAGTTCCCTTGGGGAACGATCAAACCAAGAAAACTTTACCGGAAACGGAGGTAAGCACTACACCCACTCCTTCTATCCCATTATTCCATACCTCTAATTCTTTACCGGAAACTGAGACCAAGGTAGGTATATCTACTGATTTAGAAAAATTTCCAGAAACTGAGATAAGTAAGAAAGACGAATCTTCACCCAAGGAAGAGGTAAGTGTATCCGATGACTCACGGAGTGAGGATGCTATCGCATCTGAAGATTCCAACTATGATGATGGTGATGATTCCTTCAGCCGGAGGCTGGCTCACGCCAATAACAACGAAGATGATAATGATGATGAAAGCTTCTGTGGTTTTTCTGATGACGATGATGAAGGTTATTATTATGATTTAAATAGCGGGGAAAAAACCTACAAAAGTTCATATATAGGATGTTTTGCATGATTTATACCGCCAAACGATAAAATAAAACCTGGAATTTGCTATTGCGGTAAATAATTATGATGCACATTACACTCAATTATTAACACTTGCGAAACGCGAGTATCTGTGAAAATTATTTTTTCGTGACTGTATTTCATTACGCATCATGTATCAGCCTTAAATTTTATTTGTAAAGAAAACAAATGTATATACATATGATGAGAATTTTTCGCTCTGGAAAATTTGAACGACCCAAGGTCTACGAAAATTCTTTTTGCAAAATTGATCGGCCATCGTTAAAACTAAATTTTTTCATTGTTGTCGACACCTTTTTGAACCATCTACTTCGTGATTAGAATCAGAATGGTCATTATCGGCTAAGAGCCTACGCTTAACTAATTGTGTACTTGCTTCGTGAAAACTGTCGTAATGTTTATTAATCCGACGATATCCACCGATAATCGTAGAATCCTGAAATGTTTTGCGAGGGATAAGCTTATTATATAACTACAAAAACATGTCAAAATATAAAAACTCTAACCTCAACAATTTCCAATTCTTTTTTTACACTCGTTTTTTTGGCGAGCAGTTTGGTTGCGTTTCTAGTTGCTTTTTTAATTATTCTTGCTGACTGTCGCATCTGGGATTGTAGTTTAGTTGATAAATGCAAAAAACAACACACATGACAAAGTACAATTATAGATAATAAACAGCCTGGAATGTTATACTTTAGTTAGATGAGGATGCACCTCATCCCACGAAAACGCATTCGCTCACGAGCGCGCAGGCTTTATAAAGTATTAACAGACACAATATCCCTTAGGAAGAGCCTAAACTTTATGTTCTTGACTCAACGAGAACTTCCCGCCCGAGCACACAGCTCCCTCGCCAATAAGCATACAGCTATAGATATTTGGTTTCCAGGCTGTTTCTTACCTTCAGTTGGCTTTCCAGTTGTATAAGACGTAGCTGAGCAGGGTGTTCGTTCGCAAACAATTTTCGTAAAACTCCAACCTCCATTTTAAAAGAATGATGTACACGATCTTTGGGAACATCACGTAAATAGTCGGAAAACTCGTTAAGGCTCGGCCATTTTGTATAGTGACAGTTCCAAAGCTCTGCCAGGATATGGAAAATAAAGACATATTTAAAAAAGAGGATATTCTAATAAATATTTATTTGCAAATCTTTACCATAATAACGGAGGAGACCTGAGGCAGTTTCGGGCAAGTGTGTGTTAGCTGGACTTTCTTCAGTTTCAGACAAGTGTGCGTTAGCTGGACTTTCTTCAGTTTCAGACAAGTGTGCGTTAGCTGGACTTTCTTCAGTTTCAGACAAGTGTGCGTTAGCTGGACTTTCTTCAGAAGTCGAGATAGGATTATCTGGGAGTTCATGCGTCTTTTCGATAGCTTCGGCAGTTTGTAGATTATTTTCCAATTTTTCTGGTTGCTGGAGAGATGTTGATGCTAGGGATGGAATGTAAGATAACCGAAATTTTTTTTGAATATTAAGAATATGGCGTCTTACCTTGCAACCCACTATTAAGTTCTTTAATCAAAAGTGCTATGGCTCCGGCTGGTCCACCAAGAAGATTATATGGAGAGGCTATAAGTTTATCTTCTGTCAAAGAAATGAAAACTCGGCCGGCAACCTTATTTTTCTCAATTATACTTATGTCCTCGTCGTCAAGATCCATCTCCTCTTGTTTAGACTTTAAATATTTAAGAACATCTGCTCGTTTCCACTTCTTAACGCTCTCGGCTAAAGGATTAGTGGTGGACATTACTATTTACGAAAGGATTTGCGTACAAGAGCATGACAGAAGTTCCTTGTTTCACAAAATTTTTCATATGAAATATATATACAAAAAATTATATCATGGTTACACGTTGAGGCACCCGTTTGTTTGAAATAAAACTTTGCCTGCTCGTTGTTCTAACGAGAGGCTTTGCTGATCCATCACGGATCCAAACGGTTTGAGACTTATTATAAATAAAAGTTTTTAGATAGTAGCAGTTAAATTCGAGATATATAAACTTATTTTCAAACTTTTTTAACTTTTTTAAAATTA